TTCGACCCAGCTGTCAATATAAAAACGAACGTCGGCAACGTAGGCATTTATAAAAATCTTCTTTATCGACGTTGATCAAGTTTCTCGACGTGTTTCACTTCACCTTAACCTCGTATGAAATGCTGTTCTCGCATAAAAATTGTTCGTAATGTCCTCGCCACGGGAAATTATCGATCCACCGCTCAACGGCGACGACGTCCACCTAACCTCACTTTCTGATCTTACACTAGGGATGCGTTACCCTTATGGATCTGCTTTTGATGTTCGGAATTAATGTTCCTTTATTGAAAAGAACATGCATTAGCGTTGACTTCACACGTAATCCTTCTTTGGTATGAAAAAAAAAATTCTCCATCCCTAGCGATTCATGAGCCAACCTAACCTTACTTTCTGATTTTTGCGTAGATTCGAATGAATTCGATGGATTACACTTCATTTCGATATTTAGGATTCTTTTACTTAAAAAAAAAAAAATCCTTTACATTTAACTTTACATGTAACATGTTTTTTTTTTTTTTTTTAATCAAAGTTCGTATAAAAGTTTCAATGGCGATCGCGTGGATCGGATCGACCTGACAAATCAAGAAACGCGTATCCGATGATCTTTGCGGTACGGCGAGTACATTATGCAGTTGCACGCAGTGTAACTGAGAATTCCCAATGGCTGCAGTAAATCAGTTCGCGAAATGTATTCATAGCCATTCGAACCCGCCGCCATTTACCGTCATAGCTGTACCCTCGATTGTAACAATTTATTTATCGCATGTTCAGAGATTGTAAATTACTCCAATAATTTTGTTTAGCCGAGCGACTCGAAAACCTACGACTCGGCGTACCAAAATTACCGTCGATAATTTAAAGCCGATTTTTTCCGCCTAGTACAACATTCCGTGTCTCTAAAGAATCGACCATTTAAACGCGATTTTTATCTCAAGATGCGAGCTTACAAGACGCGTGTCTAAACTATTATTATTAACTATTAATAATTCAATTTCTCTCCAGCTAAAGTACAAGAGGCGCGTTTACAAGATGCTGCATCTGGACGAGAAGCAGCTCAAGGCGATGCACACCAGGACGAAGTTGCGGAAACTTTTGGATTATGTTGCGAATAGTCAAGTCGAGAAAATCGCCAACATGTGCAGCAAGGGTCTCGATCCGAACTTCCATTGTCAAGAGACGGGCGGTAGGTTTAAAATGATATGCACAGAAAAAAAAATGTCTCTTAACGCTTATTTGGATCAAATGAAAGACCATGCAATTACTTAAAATAATACATATCCTTTTCGTTCGTTTATGCCCTAATTATTATGTACTAATTTCACTGAAGCTGTAACGTGGTTAATTACAACAAATACCTTTGAATATTTTATTCAAACTATCGAGAGAAACGATCTCTTAGGTATGAAAAGATATTTCATTGGACCGAAGAGTCTTCGACTAAAAGACATCCTTTTTTTTTCCAGGAAATTATTTCTTTCAATGGAGTTAAAGAAATGAAACAGCCTCGATTTAATACTTTATTATTTTAAGGTATGAAATATTCGTTCGATGCAATGCATCGGGCAATTAAACATTCTGGGTTTTTGTAGCGAAGACCATGTTTCTTTGATTTCGTGCCACAGTTTCTTTTTCACTTCATTGGAAGAAATAATTTCCTCGAAAGAAATCTTTCTTTCTCGGGGAAATTATACTGCGATTTCTTATTGGCGTTGTTTTCAACAGAGACGCCGTTGACCCTGGCGACGACGCTGAAGAAGCCGGCGAAGGTGATAATTGCATTGGTAAATGGCGGCGCCTTGTTGGATTACCGAACGAAGGAAGGATTGACGGCGATGCATCGGGCAGTGGAAAGGAACAGCCTGGAGGCTGTCAAGACTCTTTTGGAGCTGGGTGCCAGTCCAAATTACAAGGACACCAAAGGCTTGACGCCATTGTATTACAGCGTCATCTACAAGACGGATCCGATGCTCTGCGAGACGCTTTTGCACGACCACGCAACGATCGGGGCCCAAGATCTGCAAGGATGGCAGGAAGTTCATCAGGTTTGTTGGGAACGAAGAAGTGTCGTAAACACGGAAAACCTTTCTTTGAAATATTTTTCCAAGCCTAGAAATAATGTAATAACAAATCACCATTTGGATGTGAAACTCTCACGTTAAAGAGAGTAACAGAGAATAATTAGATATTAAGGCGATCCGAAAGTGGTCAGAGTTCTAGCTTATGAAATTTGTTTCCGAACTGGGTGCACCGAATTGTTTCAAACTTTACCGTGCCAGGAGTTACACTTGATAAATCATCCTTAAAGTTGACCAAGTGACGTTGATTTTCATTTTCTATCAAATGACGTTGATGGAGTAGACGTAGGAAGATGGCGGGTCTTGGCGAAGACGCCAATTAATCTTGAACCGCGATATGTTCCAAGGCTTGCCGCAACAACCTGGTCCAGCATCTGGACCACCTGTTGTTCTACGGGGCCGACATGAACGCCAGGAACGCGTCAGGGAACACTCCTCTCCACGTGTGCGCGGTGAACAACACCGACTCCTCGTGCATACGCCAGCTGCTCTTCAGGGGCGCCCAGAAGGACGCCCTGAACTACGCCAACCAGACGCCCTACCAGGTGGCCGTCATCGCCGGCAACATGGACCTGGCTGAGGTCATCAAGAACTACCAGCCGGAAGAAGTCGGTGAGTGGCCTTGACCTTGCACCTAGCCATGGACCATAGAGCCGGAGCATGACCTTACCCAACGAGAAGCGGCGATCGTTCGACACAAAAATCCAGGAAACCAGCAAGAGGGACCCTTCACCCTTGTATCGAGGTCCTCCTGGACTTCAAGATGAGACCTCCAATTTTTTCACAATTTGGAACATGACGATTCAATCTTCTACGTTCCAATGAGGTTCGTCGTTACTCGAAGGACTTGGATGTTCAGCTCCTGGACCCTCCACGAATGATAGTTAGGTTATTCTTTGACATAAGGCCTTATACAATGGCAGATGCGATAGTTCAATTTGAGAATTCAGGAAACCTTCAAGAGGGACCTTCATTTTCATATCGAGGCCCTCTTGGATCTAATAACGAGACCTTCAATTTTTTGAGAACTTGGATCTTGACGATTCTATCTTCTACCTTCCGATGAGATTCATCATTATTCGAAGGACTTGGATGTTCAGCTCCTGGACCCTCTACAAATGATGATTAAGGTTCTTTGACGAAGGATACTGAATTTTCATATTCTAGATCATACAGGTGTATGTGTTGTATTACCTGTATTACCCATCCCCGAAGGATTCGAGACCTCTTCATGCTTCGATATCTACCTTAGAATTGAATTACGTAAATGATCGTCTCACACATCTTCTCCATGTGGTATTTAGGTCTTTCGGTCCTTACCTCTCATCGAAGGATTCTCAATCATCCTACATGCTTTTACTTGGAACGTTCAGCTCCTGGACTCTCTACAAATCATGATTAAGGTTCTTTGACGAAGGATACTGAATTTTCATATTCTAGATCATATTACCCATCCCCGAAGGATTCGAGACCTCTTCATGCTTTGATATCTACCTTAGAATTGAATTACGTAAAGGATCGTCTCACACATCTTCTTCAGGTGGTATTTAGGTCTTTCGGTCCTTACCTCTCATCGAAGGATCCTCAATTCTCATACCCTACATGCTTTTACTTGGATGTTCAGCTGGTTATTAACCCTGGATAACTATGTGGTTACGTTACGAGTAAATGGTTTGGTTAATTTTTGAGGTTAGTTATCTAGGGTTAAATCGCCCGAGCTCAGGATCGGGAATTCGTTGAGGACCTTGGAACCCGTCGACCCGAAGTCCCCAGGACCTCAGCAGGGTACGTTGACTCCGACTTGGCCTGCGATTCGCTGCCACCGATCGAACGTCCTCGATCTTCGAGAGCTAGAACGGGAGAGAGAGAAAGAGAAAGAGACTCGGGGACAGCGAGATAGATGGAGAGAGGAGGAGGGCGGCGTGTAGGGACGGAGAGAGAAAGAGAGGAGACTCACCTTGGAAACCAGACGACTTCCTGGTTCGGTCGGTTCCCTCGAGAGGCTTCATTAGGATTGCCGTGGATCGCCGGCCGATCGTCAACCCGGGGAAGGTTTTCCGAACAACTTTTCTTTTCGGATGCAATCTGTCCCTTAATAAAAAGGAACACGCATTCAATTCGGGCGTGACGATTTTGTCGTATAAGATTTCCAATTTTATGCCTAACTATTCCCGATTAGTCCTTAAGGTGAAGTGAAACACGTCGATTAACTTGATCAACGTCGATAAAGATTTTTCTAAATGCCTACGTTGCCGACGTTCGTTTTTATATCGACAGCTGTGTCGAATTATATTGAATATTGTACCAAATGGCATACTACACCTGTCGTTTTCGTACAATAAATATCAAGAAATCGAAGTAAAACTCCAGAAATCCTCNTATAAAAACGAACGTCGGCAACGTAGGCATTTAGAAAAATCTTCTTTATCGACGTCGATCAAGTTCCTCGACGTGTTTCACTTCACCTTAAACATCGTTAATCATTACTTGCACTCCTGACGATTCTTACAAGGAATATCAATTTTACTGGAGCCAAGAGATTTTTTTGCAGGAAATAATTACAATTAGATTACCGCAAGTAATTAATTCCTCCTAGACGGTAAATTATTCGCCCAATGAAGGAAAAAGTGAAACTCATAAAATGACGAACCTCCCAGAATCTTAGGTTATGTTTGCGCCCTTACGTGTCAACCCTTTCGAGGCTGTCCTCCAGACTCATCTCGAGGTCGGAGGAGACGGTATGGCCTCAATGGCGGAGACACAAGATCACCTTCTTCATAGCGTCGCATTGACATCGCGACGAGCTATTTTAGCCTCGGAATGGTTCTAAAGAGACGACCATTGGGGTCGAGAAAAAAAGGAGAGGCCATTTCAGAGGAAACGGAGGGACGTCGCAGGATATCTTTAGAGTCGGATACGGTCGAATGTCGCAAAACCCCTAAACGGTGCCCGAGGTCAGGGATTCGACTCGTAGAAAGGAAAGAAACGTTCTACATGGTCGCTCATTCCGTAGTTTTCCACCCATCAATGACATTCGTCACCCCCTCATCCCTCTCATCGGGCACCTCGTCGATGACATTCTTCACTTCACGAGGTAGATAAAGTCACGGGACCGTCTGCGTAGCTATCCGAAACGACCCTTAAGGTGAAGTGAAACCCCCTTCAAATCAGTCGATTCGAATACAACACTTTTTTTTAAGGGTATTAGACCAAACTGTCCGAAACTTTGACACGTCACTTCTGATCATCTAAGAATTGTCCTGACACATTGAAAATTTGGATTTTTCCAAAAAATTTTTTAACTCAGTCCAGACCAGAACCAAAATGGCGTCGAGCTCTCATATTTCGATCAATATACAATTATCGAAGGCTCTAATATGAGAAACTATGCGATGTAACCTATACTTCGGATCATTAATTGGTCATTCTTAATTATTTATTTAACCGATTTATTTTCAATCTATGCGAAAGGGAAAGTCATCTCNTAATTGACCTGGAAATCACAGATGGCGCAGGGGGTCCCTCTGCAGTCAATTAGGGCCCCAGAAAGCATGAATCCGGAGGATTTCTGGAGTTTTACTTCGATTTCTTTATAATTATTATACGAAAACGGCAGGTGGATTGTGCCATTTGGTACAATACCCAATATAATTCGACCCAGCTGTCGATATAAAAACGAAAGTCGGCAACGTAGGCATTTAGAAAAATCTTCTTTATCGACGTCGATCAAGTTCCTCGACGTGTTTCACTTCACCTTAAAACAAAATCTCATAGTTTCCCCTCTCGATACAAATAAATCTCAAAATACATACTCGGATCGCCCTCTCGTCAACCGCCTCGTCGATGACATTCCTCGTATACAAACTCGATAAAGTTTTACCCTCCTTGTCCCGAATGAATGATCCTCGTCCCCTCTCGGAGGCTGGAACAAATAAGCACGCCGGCGTCGTCGTGTCTACGTCCCATCCCCACTATTATACGGGGATCGTCGATCTCGGCAGCCCTTCTCGCTCCGAGCACCGTTAGAAAGGCCGAGCACGCTCGAGCGCATCCGCCGATGGAATACGATCGGATGCGATCTAGCCCGATAGGACCCGATCGCGCCCGATAGTACCCGATCGCCCTCGCGGTGCATTTATGCGCCCACTGCCGGCTACCGTGTCTTCCTTTATTATGCCGTTGTCCCAAGGAGTTACCGTTCCGCTATCGACCTAACCTCACTTTCCGATCTTACCCGGCGATGCGTTACCCTTGTATATCTACTTTTGATGTTTACGATTAATGTTTCTTAATTGAAAAAAAAAAACATACATTAGCATTAAGGTGAAGTGAAACATCCTTCAAATCAGTCGATTCTAATACAACACTTTTTTGTAAGGGTATTAGACCAAACTGTCCGAAACTTTGACACGATTTGAAGGGTGTTTCACTTCACCTTAAATGAAAATGGAATATTTACCACTGGTTGATGATGATTATTTTCAAACTATGCGATGTAACCTATACTTCGGATCATTAATTGGTCATTCTTAATTATTTATTTAACCGATTTATTTTCAATCTATGCGAAAGGGAAAGTCATCTCAGAGACGTGCGGGACGAGCTGCAGGCGGTCACGATGAAATTTGCAAATTGCGATGCGATAAGTTGCAATTTTCGTCCCCACCCGGGGAGAAGTCGGAGTATATTATTTCCCAGCGCTGAGAATTCCCTCGAGAGAGGGAAAGAGAGAGAGAAACGAGGCCGAGCGAGGCAGAAAGGGACGAGAAAAGAGAGAAAAAGTCGAATTTCACTTGGGGTGTTTCATTGAAAAGCCCACCTCGCACATACATTTACCGCAATTGCTCGCAAGTCGAGAAAATCGTTTTTAAAACACTTACCCTTCGAGCTTCATCCCTGTAATCACCGTACCGAGTAAACCACTCTGAAAAATAATCCAAAAAGTGTTAAATTACACGTTAAACATTTTCCACGTGAAATCCAGATGGAAAAGATAGAGAATACCCGACATAGAGACTTACTCATAATTTCAGCGACACGCCGGAAATTTAGATTTTCATGAAATTTTCCATTTTCCCGTGGCACGTCTTTCTTATTATAGAGTGCGTTAAAGCTTCTCTAAAAAATTGGATTTTTATTTCTAAATAATTGATTTCCATCCTGCCACTTTCTAAAATAATGCACTGGGGCTTCTTGTGAACAAAAAAAAATCTGATTTATATAAAGTAATTGAGTTTCGACGAGGTCCATTTTTTTTTAAATATTATTAACACCTCGCAAAAAAACGGATTTGAGAAAATAATTGATTTTGGGCTTCGCACCTATTCTTTGTAAAAAGTCCATCGAAATTTCTCGTGACAAAAAAATCCAATTTTCATGAAATAATTGATTTTCGTACCCCTTCTTTTTCCCACGCTCCTTGGCGTGCGATTTTATCAATTATATTTGACGCGATTTGGCACGCACTTTCTTTTTCATCGGTGTGTGGTCCGATAGCCTCGCGTGTTCGCCTTCAATTTATTATTTATTGAATCCAGCATTAGCCGAGAAGAGGGCCGCCTTAAATCAACGCCGAACTTATTTATGCGAACCCCTCGCGAGCTCGAAGCTCG